CGCTCAGTCAACATCTGCTGAGTCATTCCCTACCAATTCAACACTGTCCAATCCAATACCTGCCGATTCAACACCAGCTGATTCAGCATGTGCTCAGTCAACATCAATCGCTGATTTAACAGATTTTGAGTCATGTGACAGTGACTCTGCAATAAGGTATGTGTACTGCTCTGTACCAAATGCCAGTGTCTGGCAGCAAACTGTGTCTTAGCACCTGTGTTGCATTCAACTGCTTAGGTTATTGGCTGACACATGGTGAACCTTCTGTGTATAAGATATTTGATGAGTGAGAATGTTTTGAAATTTTAATTATATCCTACTCAAATATATTGCATGAATTTGGCCCAAGAGATGTTTTTGCTCCTTGACTGTTTGTCTGTACTCCAAATTGAATTGAATTTTCAGAAATGTTTTGGATATGTATCATCTTAATATCCACACTAAATGAAAGCTTTTGTTGGGTTTTCTTTGGGAACTATTTTCCTCTGAAGTAGACCACAAACAAGTTATTATTCATCTTGTGAAACTAATGAAATAAGATTCTTACATAAGTTATTTATTTATAAATTCATTGTTTTATTCTATACATATGTAAGAGTTCAAGAAACTGTGTTAAGTTAACAGATAAAATGATACAGACACAGTTTTTAATGACTATGGGGTAAACACAGGGACAAGGGACTGACATTCTGCATACGCAGTCTTTCTGATCACTTGCAGAGAAATTCTTTGTACCTAATCACAGTCTGACGTGGAATCACCATTCCCAACTTTGGCATTTACTGCTTTAGAACTTTTCATGCTATTGTCATTGCCCTGGAATCATCCCATTTCTTCTTCTCTGGCACAGAGGACACAGTTTGGCCACTCTTATGCCGGTGTGCTCACTTGATTCTAGCTTGCAAGATGTTTCTAATGCCACGTGACTTGCAGTTTTCATTCTGAATTCTGTTTACCTTGGCTCATATAATTTTTCAAGGGTTCATCTGTCAATGATATGGCAAGAGATTAGAGTTCTTTCATCTTCTGTACTCTTGCCACTTTTCCGTTACCCACATTCTTATCACAGATGCGTCTAAAAGTAGGAACTAAACTGTGCATCTTCACTATCAGTTTCTGTGAGTAAATCTAAAATACTCATTTGTTCCAAGATGTAAGGAACTTGACAGTATTCACAGTGTAATGAAGTACATGCTACTTGTTCTTCTTATCTCTTATTGCATGAAATTTAGACATTTCATGAATCTGTTTTCATTGCCAACTTCCACTACAATTAGCATATTTCATTATATGAGGAGAGTTTTTCAGTCCTGTTGAAGGTAATTTAAAAAATACCTTTTTTTAAGGCCTTATTGTTTGGCACTGCAAAGCTTTCTCCCCATTACAGTGTGCATTAGCCTGAGTTTCATGCAAATATTAGATATGGTCTTGCTCTGTGCATCTTAATGCTGCAACACAATATTGTTTATATCTTGGAGACATTAGTTTCCTTCTTGATTTTATAGCTTAAAGATTGTTTGCTTTAAAATGTTTATATATGGTTGTCTTTTTCTAGTTAGGATTTTCTGGATTATTGTTCATGGGAATCAGGTTTTGCTAACTGCAGTCATTTCTTTGCCAAAATAAACACCTTACACTTTCTCCTAATTGTGGCTTTAACAAACTGATCAGCAGTATATATTATTGTGTTTCTCTTAAGTTACCCCCTTCCTCCACCATCAATATCATAATTGTCCTTGCTGAAAGATCAACCATAATATTGGAAATTAACTGTGTTGCAACGTATTTTGTTGTAGGAAGACAGTATCTGCTCTGCAGCTTCTGGAAAATAATGAAAATTTTTCTATGTTTAGTGAGACCAGTGTCCAGGCACCGACTGACAATTTGCAGGAAGACTGTACAAGTAGTGGTTCTGTAGAAGAAAGGCAGTTAACTGATGCAACTAGGGCTGCAAGTGGTCTCATCTTCCCACCAACAAAGGTATATGGAAGTTTTTGAAATTTCAGTTCTTCAGGACAGACCGATATCAATAAAACGTGTAAACCATGCCAAACATGATAGAATAGTAATATTCAAGTCATATGTGAATGAGTCCTCTTTATAATAAACCTTTACATACACATACAAAATATTTGTTTCATGTGATGAGTGTGAATATTCTGTAACACTGGAATTACAATTACATGTGGTTTTAGTATCACTTAAGAACCTTTTAAATTCATAGTTTTTTATCATAAGCAATGTATATGCACTTTATAAGTAAGTAGCAAGAACACGTCCAACAGAATAATGTAGCTTCCATCTCATCTGCATAGCTTCACTGTGCACTGGAGAATGTAGAATTATGTTTTGTTCCAGATATCCAGGAAGGTTTATAGAGAACCTCTCTCTTGCTTTAAATTTGGGAGGTACCAGTTTCATATCAGGACTTGGTTTCTAGGTCTTTTGTCCAGTTACAAATTTGTGAGGGATTTATTAATTATTTTGTTATTGGGATATTGTCCTGGAGTGTGGTAATGGGACATGAACATATACTTCACTCTTTCTGCATCTGTTTTTTGCCATTCTCCTTGCTGATGAAAGTACAAATGATATCAGTTTTAACCACATGAACAGAAGGCTTTGTTGCAGAACATTATTTACAGCTGTATGGATTCTAGGTGAAAGGGAGGGTGAGAGGTGTCAGATGTGGTGATGTTAAAAATTGTTAATAAATGATCAGTTTGCAGCAGGTCTGAGGTGAAGAATGCAATGAAAGTAGTCCCTTGATTTTTTTTTAAATTTTATATTTGCCATTTGTGCTGGCTTATAAAAGGAACAGCAGATTCCCTAGTCAGATAATTAATGAACTTTGTAATGCTACCAGCAAAGGATTCCTCAGTCCTGTAACTGACTAGGCATATTGATCATTATGTGAAGTCTCTTGTTTATGGCCTCATTGTATAATACTCCATCACACCTTCTGCTTTTCAGGGCACATCGGCTGATTCAGTGCCTACCAATTCAACACCATCCAAGCCA